CGCGGGCCCAAGTCGGTGCACGCCCGGGCGGTTGCACGTGGGAGCCCGGGAGGCCCCAGCCGTTCCCGCCTCCACCCGAGGCCGCGCCCCCGGCCCGCCCGGGCAGCGGGGCCAGGACCCGCCCGTAGAGGGTGCTGAAGGGCCCGGGGCGCTGCATCCCGACGCCTCGCTCCAGCCTCCGCCGAAGTCCCGCCCCCGGCTCGTCCGGAAGTCTAGTCGCTTACGCACAAGGCTTGCGCGCGCTGCCGCGCGGGGTCTGCTGGGACGTGTAGTTCTCTGAGGTCTACTACCCATAACCAGGCCCCAATCTAGACTACCAGCCCCACAATGCACCGCGACCAGGTGCGCAGTCGCGAGCGACCCGCTCCGGCGCGTCATTCAGTAAAGTCGGAGTAGGTGCCGGCAGAAGCTCAGGGCCACTCTTTACCCGAGGGAGGTATGTTTTACCGCGTTAGCCGAATTACTGGGCCTTTTTCTGACTGCGCATCCGAGAAAGGGGTGTTAAGCCTGACCCAGTTGTTTTTCACGGCAGTGAGAATGCGGCAGTGGACGAGACCTCCGCGGTGGCTTTTCTTTCTGGAAACGTCGCAGGCCTTTCTGGGGTGACTAGAGAATGCACATGTGACTTCGGTGTCCGTTGGAGTCCATTCCAGACCCCAGCAGGCCCAGGACCACCAGTTTAGAACCCCCATCTATAGACATTGCTCTGTGGTCGGTGGTGTTGAATGACGTACTTCTTCCACCAGATGGAGCCTGGTTCCGCAAGTGTATCAGGGACCCTGAAATCCTTGCTAACTAACAAGGATTTTAACAGAACCTAACAGCTTTCTCTTTTTTTTCTCTACATTTAAGGTTTCTTGCCGTAGTTCTCGGTGCTTGAAGCTGTGCTGATCCTTGAATAGTATGAGTATCATGAATCTGTTTGCAGGTGTCCAGCATACTCTGTGACCTGTACTTTGGACTTTCCAGCCCCTCGAATTATAAGTTTTTAAATAAACTTTAATTTTTTTTTTTTTAAGTTTGCTATGGGGTGTGTGTGCTCTCTAGAAAGGGAGGGCCAGATAAAGTGAGAAATCACCCCCCAGGGCAGATGGCCCCGCTGCAGTCCTGGCTCCATTCTCCTCTTGGAATTTTGGGCACACACACAGGCGTGTTTTCAAGCCTCTGGGTCCAGGACTTCAATTGAGCAGTCAGCCATGTGGGATTCTGGCGTTACCCTCCCCGCCACCTGCTGGCCCAAACTTCTATCTTTTTTTAGAAAAGCACCCAGGCTTGGGTATTTCTCTTAGCAACGTAAAAACAGACTAAGACAACTAAAACGCCTTTTTTTTTTAATTACTTATAAAGAACGGCACAGGGCTTTCTCTTGTATTTCATGGTACCTAATGAAATTAAGTTATTGTTTCAAGGGGAAACCAGTTTTCAGGGCCAAAACGAAGGATCCCAGAGGGCACGCTACACACTGGTGGTGAGGGAAAGCCTGGGCCTACCAGAACTTAGGGCATGTCACTGCCCTGATGGGGCCGTATAGTCCCATCTGACCGGAAACAAAGCCAATAGATTGCCCTGTATTTCCCTTAATACCAGAATGCAGGTGCCCCTAGAACAGTACACAGTACTGTGTGACTGGTTTTCAGTGAAACAAGAAAAGTTCACCCTCCCTACTTTCCCACCTCTATTCTCACTCCTCATCTTCAAAGTGTGTTCATTAAGTGGTTTCTAGTGGAAGACTGTACAGAACTACAAACCAGATGACGACATGGATTTGGGATCCTGCAAGAGATTGAAGTGATGCTGACTACAGAGTAGAGACAGGAGCTAGACTCTTAGAAATAGCTAATCAAGCCCACATTCCCCCTCCACTCTTAGACTCTTTTAAAACCGGCCTTTGGAGCCTCAACCTGTGACCTGTGTTGCTTCTCTCCCTTCCCGCAGTAGCAGGTTTATTGTCTAGTAATAGTTTTGACTAACAGTTAAGACCTTGGAAGAGGATGAGAAAGTCCTCATGGTAGTCTAGTGATCAAAATGAGTCATGATTGGGACCAGCAGTTAGCATAATGGCTATGTCGCTGGACTCCCATGTAGTCGAGTGAGAATGCGGCAGTGGACGAGACCTCCGCGGTGGCTTTTCTTTCTGGAAACGTCGCAGGCCTTTCTGGGGTGACTAGAGAATGCACATGTGACTTCGGTGTCCGTTGGAGTCCATTCCAGACCCCAGCAGGCCCAGGACCACCAGTTTAGAACCCCCATCTATAGACATTGCTCTGTGGTCGGTGGTGTTGAATGACGTACTTCTTCCACCAGATGGAGCCTGGTTCCGCAAGTATATCAGGGACCCTGAAATCCTTGCTAACTAACAAGGATTTTAACAGAACCTAACAGCTTTCTCTTTTTTTTCTCTACATTTAAGGTTTCTTGCCGTAGTTCTCGGTGCTTGAAGCTGTGCTGATCCTTGAATAGTATGAGTATCATGAATCTGTTTGCAGGTGTCCAGCATACTCTGTGACCTGTACTTTGGACTTTCCAGCCCCTCGAATTATAAGTTTTTAAATAAACTTTAATTTTTTTTTTTTTAAGTTTGCTATGGGGTGTGTGTGCTCTCTAGAAAGGGAGGGCCAGATAAAGTGAGAAATCACCCCCCAGGGCAGATGGCCCCGCTGCAGTCCTGGCTCCATTCTCCTCTTGGAATTTTGGGCACACACACAGGCGTGTTTTCAAGCCTCTGGGTCCAGGACTTCAATTGAGCAGTCAGCCATGTGGGATTCTGGCGTTACCCTACCCGCCACCTGCTGGCCCAAACTTCTATCTTTTTTTAGAAAAGCACCCAGGCTTGGGTATTTCTCTTAGCAACGTAAAAACAGACTAAGACAACTAAAACGCCTTTTTTTTTTAATTACTTATAAAGAACGGCACAGGGCTTTCTCTTGTATTTCATGGTACCTAATGAAATTAAGTTATTGTTTCAAGGGGAAACCAGTTTTCAGGGCCAAAACGAAGGATCCCAGAGGGCACGCTACACACTGGTGGTGAGGGAAAGCCTGGGCCTACCAGAACTTAGGGCATGTCACTGCCCTGATGGGGCCGTATAGTCCCATCTGACCGGAAACAAAGCCAATAGATTGCCCTGTATTTCCCTTAATACCAGAATGCAGGTGCCCCTAGAACAGTACACAGTACTGTGTGACTGGTTTTCAGTGAAACAAGAAAAGTTCACCCTCCCTACTTTCCCACCTCTATTCTCACTCCTCATCTTCAAAGTGTGTTCATTAAGTGGTTTCTAGTGGAAGACTGTACAGAACTACAAACCAGATGACGACATGGATTTGGGATCCTGCAAGAGATTGAAGTGATGCTGACTACAGAGTAGAGACAGGAGCTAGACTCTTAGAAATAGCTAATCAAGCCCACATTCCCCCTCCACTCTTAGACTCTTTTAAAACCGGCCTTTGGAGCCTCAACCTGTGACCTGTGTTGCTTCTCTCCCTTCCCGCAGTAGCAGGTTTATTGTCTAGTAATAGTTTTGACTAACAGTTAAGACCTTGGAAGAGGATGAGAAAGTCCTCATGGTAGTCTAGTGATCAAAATGAGTCATGATTGGGACCAGCAGTTAGCATAATGGCTATGTCGCTGGACTCCCATGTAGTCGATCCCGGTTCTTGTCCTCGAC